ATGAATATGGTAAAATGTGGCTGTTTAAATTAATAGTTCGTTATAGACAACGTGGCCTAATGATGTGATGATGATCAATTAAACTTTGTAATAATTATGTAAAACATTGTAATAGTACAGTCATTCAGACTTGAGATACAATAGACTAAAGGTGTGGACAAATCCTCTATAATACCACAGTTGAATATTAGGTGAACCACTAGTTCACTAAATGACGAAGTAGGGAAAACAAGGATGAAGATGGTATCTTCACCCCAATAAAACGTCATTCACCCTTATTGTGAATGACGCATTTCGTGCTGTGGATATCAATGGACCGTGGGATTACCTTTGATGATTACATCATTGATTTTAATCGTTTTTTTATTTCTTTTCTCAGAATCAGTTACGTGACATTCTAATCAGTTGCGATTTCCCAGAAGGTATGTCAACAATATTGTTTCTATTAAACGGAAAGTGAACAAACATGTTCAGTTTATTACCCCCAGAATATATAATCAAAGGAATTGTCGCCACACACTATCACCATTGTGTCATTGACTTTTGTTTGCTTATCTGTGAGATATCTTTAAGATACAGTATTTACTCCATTAGATGTGCACATAAACAAAAATTACATTTGATGTATACTGAATCATTAAAATATGACTTGCAGTACAGCTCAAAACTTGCTTACTCAACACGTTAACGCACGTTAACACTACGTTAAGATCGCGTTATGACCATGCCAACATAACGTTAATGGATGTTAGCTCATTAACTTTGGTAGCTTTGTTTGCATGCAAATGAGGAGAACAATGAAACTGAACGTGTGGGACAAAAATATTTCAAAACAAGGACGCCTAAATGGTTTAGTAACAAGTTACGTTTTGAAAATAAACTTCAAAATGTCATGCTTCAACTCATAAGTTTTGTAAATTGTACTTGCAATCAGAGTATTATTTTTAGTAACTGTCTGTTGAGGTGGTATTATTTCTAGTTGCAATAAAGTTATTTGGATAACCATTAATTCCTGACATTAATTCAGGAAAATGCATGTTTCTTTAACTGACTTAAGAGATAAGCCAAAGTTATTAATATTGAGCCATGTGTATATTTTTTTGTTCTAATTTTCATTATATGTTGAATATTTGCATTGATTGTGGACCGAGAGAAACAACCTTTTACAAAAAATACATGTCTGTTTGTCATTTTAGTAAGAGTACGTCAGATTTTAATTATTCTGTGTACAACACTTGTTTTTGTTTGGTTGGGAGATATGCACTCCAAAATAGTGTATACAGTAAATATTTTATTCTGAGGATAGATGTTATAGTTATTTGGCTTCCTTGAATAAGGTCAATAATCTCACTTATTTCAATCTCTGCAATCAAATTTTTCCATGGTTACCGACAAGCGTCAATGGAATTCTGTGATGCCATTGGTCGATTGATGCTCACATGAAACTGGAACAGAATAAGATCTTTATTGTATATCACCATACTTTGTTACGAAAGTTGTGTACCCATTTCTTGATGCCATCTCAAGTCAATCAAGCAATAATTTTACATCATTTATTTTTTAAGATTGTGTGGCTCCCCAGGTGTTCAACTTCACTGGTCCCGATTCCAACTTGGATGTTGTCATCACATTGTTTGTGTTAGGACTTTATCCTAATGTGTGTATACACAAAGATAAACGTAAAGTGCTGACAACGGAAGGCAAAGCTGCACTCATCCATAAACACTCTGTCAATTGCAGTAATAGGGATCAGAACTTTCCGTCTCCATTCTTTGTGTTTGGTGAAAAGGTAAGATTTTATTTCATCCATGGTGAACATAGAATAGAAACGATGAGATATCTGTTGCACAGTGTTCTCAATGTGTTGGTGATAGAATAGAGATAAAGGAACTGATACTGTTGTAATATTAATGCTAAAGTTTTTTTCTATTATTGCTCTCTGGACTTTTGAAAAACTTTTGTATAACTTATATTCTATGCATCAGAAAATCTATTTGTCTCCAAATAATTGTCTTGCTGTGACATAGTCTACCTGTCCTTCTGCTGATGTGTATAAATTTACATTTCAAATTGTTCTAAAAAATATGAATATTAAATGATTCATAAATAAATTGTTGTGTTCATAGGTCTACCTTAGTCATTAGGATAATGCATATCAGTGCTGAACACCAATAAATTCACTTCTTGTGAATATAACAAGGGTTATATGTGGATTAACTGTCACCAGTTTACTATCCATTCCCCTCTGTACCTCTAATAACAAACATTTCCCTTGACATGAGACATGTTACAATTTATGGATCATAAGTTGCTATAATGTATTGCTTAATTGCTGTAAATGAAACCTGGCTAACTCATTGGTTCTAGAAACTGGAAACATTATTGATAAGCCAATCCATAACTTATTTCTCATAATATTGTACCCCAGCTGCCTCTATCTGTTTTTGCTACCGCAAAACAGATTTTAGAACATTTTTTATATGTCGTAGCGAAGAGTACAGACAGAGGCATATGCGATGCCAATATTATTGGCCACTTGTTGACATTGTAGCATAATGTGAAGACAGCGACATGTGCAGTGCCATGTATAATGTTAATAAACATTATTATACATCTGTCACCGTAACGCCATACGTTACATCGTGCCGTAATTTTGCGGTATTTTATGGGGTATTTTCATTCTACTGTATAAGGAAATGCAAATTCCAAATATGGAATGGTTGCACACATAAGTGTCCTCTAATAATAAAAACAAAGATGGCTGCCATCAGGGTTTGATCGACCTCCACACAAAGAAGCTCGCTGATTCTGTTCTAAACTTATTGATGATGTATCATTGGGGGGGGGGGGGGAGATGTATAATAATGAGGTTATTATGAGGATACTGTAAAGTATGCACTTAGACAGTACGCCTTTGCATCGACCTCTGCTGCAAATCTGTTGATACTTCCGCTGTACTGTCTTCGTGCATACTTTCGATATCCTCGTAATAACCTCATAGTATGGTATGTACATGTATGTGATAAATACAATCGCTATTAACACATCGGCTGCTGATGTCGTTATATACTATTCATATCGGCTATCCACTGGCGATAGATAGGCAATGTTGTTTTTGGCGATAGATAAGTGTTAAATATAGAGTGGCAAGATGTTTCTTCTAGTCAGTACTGGAGTAACAGACTTTGATATAACCCAGGGGTAGTGGGTATTATGGGTGTTTATTTGTTCTAACTTGATATCTTAGCTCAGCCCAAGTAGCACCCTGTGACAAATAATTTGACTGTAACTATGAAATAACTTCATTTTATTTATTTTTTTATTTTCAGTTGCGGACACGTGCTGTATCTGCTAAACAGATGACGATGGTTACACCTTTTCAGCTATTGCTATTTGGTTCAAGAACGGTGGAATCTTTAAATGGGATTATCAAGCTGGATGACTGGTGAGTTAGTTGTTGTATCCAACCTGATTTGCTTAGTGTAGCATTGAGAGCCATTATTCCTCACATACGCTGTTTGTGTTTTTGCCCATGAGGAAATGATTGCAGCAAATTATGTCACCATTGTTGTCAAATATTACTGGTTTCATAATGTCAATTTGATCTTGGCCTTGAACATAGGTGAAAATGTGGCTTAGAATAGCATAGCAAGTATTTGAAGAGTTAAATAACCATGAGATGTGTGTATAACCTTTTCACCACCAGTTCGCTCTTTTCATCACAAATTCACAAAATGGGCATGTTTATAGTCTGCACTATTCTTCTGAAGATTGGGAAAAAAATAGTTTTTGAGTAAAAACCAAAAAATGACTCAAATTTTGTCTGTAGAAAAAAAAAAAAAGAGAAATTCTGGTGGTGAAAAGGTTAATGTTGACTGTGGGTAGCATGCTTTCATTACATTGGGATGTGTTTATGGTTTTGATTGCATTTATGCTATTGCTAGTTTCTTGTTTCCCCATCTGTGAGAAAAAAGAAAAATACCAAAAAAGAAATGATTTGATCTTAAATCTGAATTCTGCAGCCTGGCAACTCATTCCATAAATACATAACAACTCTTTATCTGTTCTCTCAGGATTAACTTAAGGTTAAGTCACCAATCCGCAGCCAAGATAGTGGCACTGCGTCCTCCAGTGGAAAGATTAATTATCAAGATAGCCAGTGATCCTCAGATTATTAGTGAACCTGCAGAGGAGGATGATTTGTTACTTAAAGTGATCCGTGCCCTATCAAAACCTAATGCTGGTAAATTTGGTGTTGAGAACCAAGCATCTGGTGGTAACAGCAGCCAATCAGGGTAAGTGTTGTATTCTGTGTTCTAGCCATTTTGATCTGCTCCAATGACACTACTTCTTACATACCGGTATCAATACACCCAGGTGATCAAGGGGACATATAACATCTTCACAAAAGTATGTATTCTCATCCATGAAATAAAAGAGTCCCAAAAATGTCACAGTAAGTTTGTACTGGCTGTGTGGAGGATTATTTTTAAATGATGTATGATTGTGATCCGCACTTCAAGCCATGTACGATTTATTTGTATTGGTCAATTAGTGATAATATGGGCAGATGATATGTATGTACACTCCTGTGTGTATATCATTTAGATGAATGCATCCATCTGCAGCACTGCATATTAGTATAGTCTGGGAATACTGTTGTTTATGTTAAATTCTGTTATATTGATTTGCAGTTATGGTCCTCCATCACAAAGGCCCAGATTCTCATCTGACGGCGGTGGCGGCAGCGGATACAGACCAAGATTTGGCAGTGGTGGAGGTGGTTACCAAGGTGGTGGGGGATATAGAGGAGGTGGAGGGTACAGAGAAGGTGGAGGATACAGAGGAGGTTACAGAGGTGGGGGAGGCTATAGAGGTGGTTATGGTGGATATCAAAGTGGAAGAGGGGGTGGATATAGAGGAGGCGGAAATGGATACAGGGGACAGGGTGGTAACAGTAATTATGGGGGAGCCGGTGGTAACAGTAATTATGGGGGAGGCGGTGGTAACAGTAATTATGGGGGAGGTGCTAGCAATTACGGTGGTGTGGGAGGTAACAGTGAGTATGGTGGAGCAGGAGGTAGTGAATATGGGGGAGGAAATGAATGATATCAAAATTAGAAGAATCAGTAATCAAGACACTGATTCATGAATAATCAATTTTGTTCAGTAATGTAATTTTACTTCATCAAACTTTTAAAAGTATTTTTCACTGGGAAAATGGGAAATAGCTCTATAAAATTTTTGTCAAATTAGTGACAACAAAAATTAATTATACCAGACATCTTTGATTATTTTCATAGAACAAACTATGTTGCAACCACAACAACATGTCATTGGTTTTATATGAGTAACTGCCTTTTATCTTTGTTTTTATTAGTACTTGAAATGTCCTGTGATGTATTGTTCACAAGGTAGCAAGCCCAGGAGGATTAGAAGACTTTGTTCATTGTTTGGGGGGGAGGCAATAAAGATTGAAAGATTGCTTGCTACAATCACATGTTTTGTTTACATTCTTCATATTTTGAATACAAGTGTATGTGGTTCACAATCTCTGTATGAATACATGTGTTTGTATTAAAATCTACATATGAATAGGAATGTGTGGTGTGCAATCTCCATATGAATACAAGTGCATGGTTTACAATATACATTTACAATCTACATATAATGAAAGTATGTAGTTTACAATCTACATATAAATACCAGTGTGTGGTTTACAATCTCCATGTGAATACAATGAATACAAGTGTGTAGTTTACAATCTTTCACAAGAAGGTTGTGGCAATAAAATACTATCCCTTATGAATAAAGTGTGTGGTTTACATTGGCCATGTGTATATCAATACAACCAGCTGTTGTAACTATTGTTTCAGTCGCACACATAGTCGTAATTTGCGAGTGGTTTACAATATTCATATGATAGTGAATGTTGATTACACTCACTGACATAAATGCCATCTGCTAATTCAAAAAGTCTATTTGGATGGTGGGAACATTGCCTGGAAAAGCAGATGCTAAGTTTCAAAAGTAGCTTTCAAAGGTACAAAAAGTTTGAAAATTCGCTTTAGGGGTGGAAAGCCACTTACGAAGTTCAAACAAATTGTATTGAATCCATGAAGGTTGCCTCAAATGTCACGAAAGCCATCTGCAAACTTTAAAAGTCGCAGGGAACTAAACAAATTAAAAAATCACTTGGAAAGGTCAAGAAAGTTTCAAATATATTTGAAATTGAGAACGTTTCTTGAGAAGTCTCAAAAACCATCTTTGAAGTTTCGAAAACCACTTGGAATGTAGACAGTGGCTGGAAAAGTCATGAAAGCCATATGCAAAGATCAAACACATTCTCCAATCACGCTGTTTGGTGTTCTCATAGAAACACCAAGAAATGATCTTCAAGCCAAGAGATGAACACGTTTTAAGTGGTCGTATTTTTGGAAGCCCCAAATTTCAGCGCCGTAAGTCAAAATAGGGATGATTTTGGTGTCGAAAATTTTAAAATAAACATCGTATGGGAGTGATTTTAACAGTGATAAAGATCGAAGTGTGTACAAAAGAACTTTTCTAGCTTGATGTGCCAATAATTTGGTTGCATAAAATAATTTTTGAGAAAACAGAAGGCCAAGATATTTATAATACGACACAGTTTCAACCACTTCGCCCTGGTACGTCCATTTCTCGTTCTTGCATAAATGTCCCCCACTCTTAAAAACAATAATCTTAGTTTTCCTTAAATTCACTGACATATTCCAGTTATCAAAATGTAAATCAAGTTTCATTTCAAGACGCTGAATACCGCTAATGAAATCGGCTACTAATGCTACATCATCAGAGAAAAGGAGACAAAATAATTCTACAAGATCTGGAAATAAATGAAAACAATAGAAATCAGATTGTTCAGCTCATAACTTAATTCATTAATAAATAAATAAAGAGAATAGAAAGGGGCCTAACACATACAGCCCTGCCGTATACCTATGGAGCAGTTAAATTAACCTCAGACTTGTATTACGAGTGTGAGTCCTAACACACGATTGGTATTTGCATAGATATAATGTAATACTTTGAACATCTTCCCCGTTGACACCCCCCCCCCCCCCATGAGCAAAACATACTACAATCTTTGTCTTTCCACGGTGTTAAATGCTTTGGACAAATTACACAATACAATTTATCACGTTTCTTGGTAATATATGTTATCAAATGTCAATAATCATGCCTAAACCCAGCCTGTGCCTCGTCGATTTTCCCCCAAAGCATTCCCCCAAAAAGTTAAGCGTGCATTTAATATGGATGAAAAAATCTTACTAAAAATACCAAGTAGCGATATCGCTCTATAATTACCTGGATCATTCTTTGGACCATTTTTTATAAATGGGAACGATAATCGCCTTTGACCACTCAATTGGAACAACACCAGATTAAAATATTTTATTAAAAAGCACTAGTAAATATGGCAACAGAAACTGAATAGAACTTTTAAAAAATTCCCCAAGAAGAACGTCTGGTCCTGGGGATTCACTATTTTCGATTCTGTGATTGGGCCATTCTAAATATCCCAATCAATCTCCCTGTTATACGTAAAGGTATCAACTGATTCCAAATAACTTAACAATTCGGTGTTATAAATAAACACATTATTTGTTGTCGAGATAAAATAGAGAATTGATTTGGTTGTATATTAGATAAAATGGTGTTTTTTTTCGGAAAACAATACCTCTAATCGTGGGCCAGAACTGTTTAATACTGTTTGTATAAAAGACATTACTAGTATGTTTGCTTTCTGTCTATCAATGTAAGATTGCTTTCAGTGCTTTCTCTCACGGCAAGTGTATTTAAATGTGTTGCGCGCACTCTAATAAGCTCTCAAATGGTCAGGGTGGTTTGTACGCCAAAATCTCCGTAACAATTTATATTTTTGCTCTTTGAGCGTTCAACATGTGGTGTAAAACCATATCGGTTGGCCACGCTTACCTCCAAAATTGGAAGATGTCATGCGACTTTCTACTACATTAAGCCTACTTTTGACAGAAAGAGAATTGGTATTGAATTGGTAAAAGAATTACTAGTACTACGGTTTCCTAAACAGCTAAATTTGCTTTGATCCCTCCCCACTTTTGGGTTGCGTGTGAATGCTACTCCCGGTCTGTAACGCTGTTAACAAGGAAGGTAAACAATAAAGGCAGGTGGTCAGATTCCGACCGCGATGCTATGGAAATATCTAGTATTTTATAAAACAGATGTGGAAACTATGACATAATCAACTATGTTCGTACCATTATGTGTGATGCATGTGAAGTCACTTACACCTGCTTGATTACCAAGTTTGCCGTTTAACATGTGTACTCCAAAAGTATAACACAGCTAAAAAAAAAAAACGCCCAAATAAATTGATTTCTGTATTTTTAGATACACGTGGTATGTGAAAAGGGTCTTCCGCATACCCAGCTTAACGATCTACTACATAATTTGGATTATCATGAAAAGGTAATTGACTTCATTGGCTTTTCTACTGTCAAATTTTTTTACCTCCATGATTTATCTAATTCAGATTCCAAGATTCCAGTGTTAGTGTCTTAATTGCGATAGGACGTGGACGTATGCGGGGGATATATACACTCACATAAAGAATGTCTTTCTTCTCATTGAAAAGCTCCCCTTTAAACAATAAAACTATACAATCATTTTACATATTTGATTAAACCATTCTTGATTAGAACACTCATCCCGCCAACAAAACGACCACGTGTGGAGATTCTTGGCCTAGATCAACTGAAAAAAGTGAAACCAGTAAGTTGATCAATAAATTGGTCGTCATTCTCAACCCAAGTTAAATAAAAGGATTATATCGTAATTACAAATAAAATCAACAAAATCAGGGGAGTATACTAGTAATTTACTTTTTAGCCTTCTAACGTTCCTGGAAATGAATTTCAGTTCTGTCTGTCCGTGGCCGAATTCCTATTCTGAAGCAATGTCGTTATTAGCTGCAAGCATTTTTTGTAAGCTAGTTCTTGGTTCTTCTGTCCTCGGTGATATTTGTTCACTGGCACCAAGACTGCGATCGGGTTCGGAGTTTACGCTTTCGGTTCTATCCACTTTATCACTATCAAACGCTACCAATCTACCATTCTTATAATATCCCTTTCGGCTCTGTTTCCTCAGATTGTTTAGATATCTCTGTTGCCGTTTTGTTTTGTCAGCGCCATTACCAATGCCATCCACTTTTAAGTCAGTACGCGCAGAAAGAGCCAACAATCGTCATCAAAATGATGAAATTCCATGATGTTTACGGTGCACTCAATCTGATAAACTAGTTTTGGCTTTTTTTTGTTTGTATTTTGGGATATTTATTTTATTTTATTTTGATCTAGTATTTATTTGTTGATATGTTTTTGAAGTTTTGGTAGTTGCGAAAGCAGTGGCTGGCGATAGTTAAAAATATACCGAATCACAAGTACGTAACAAAAAATACAAAATAATTAAAAAAAATAGTAAAAGTAAAATAAATATATAAAATATAGTACACTTTACAATACATCAGATTTTAATCAGATTGGATGCGCTCTCACGATATCACGTTTTATCCAGGTTTTGGCTTTAGACCGTCAACATCAATTTGGTTAATATTTGCAGTCTCTTTTAAGCCCGACAGCAATTTTGTTATTTCGCGTAGACCAGTTTTTATTACAGGTCTGCTGTAACTTATCCTGTGTCGTTTTCATCTTTCGAGATATACTTCCATTTTACCGTTGAGTTCTTTACTAATTTTGCGCAATTCCGTCATATTTTCTGAATTACTATCAACCGTGCGTGAATTTGTGTAAGAGCCTGGATTAGCGCCGGGATTTAATTCAATATTACCGATACACAACAGCACCAGGATACGTTTCATATTGCTTCCATTGTCATGCAAAATTGCCGTGTAAAATTGCCAATTCTTGCTCGGCAGGCTTCAACAGAGATACCCATTGCACCAATATTCTCCACTTAGAACGAGTCAGTAATCACACTGCCGATGGTTCTGCATGAACTCAATAACGCAATAACGCTTGGAAAGCAGCAAAAAAAAAAAAAAAAAAAAAAAAAAAAAACTTACGGGAGCAGAGATTCGCAACTCTGTGTTCATTAACACCCTCAACGACCAAAGTAACTTTGAAAGGCTGGAAAGTTATCTGAAAAGATCCCGTAAACCATCTGACGTGTTCGTAAAGTAACTTTGTAAGGAAGGAAAGTTGCCTGAAAATTCATGAAGGCTGTCTGAAGAATTCTTACATTAACTTTGGAAGGCAGAAGAGTTGTGTGAAAAGATCACGAAAGCCATCTTACGAGTTCAATGTGCAATGGGAACGAACTATCGAATGAATGGACATAAGTGTATGCAGGCAGCGTATAACCAGAGAGGAAACGAGATTATTTTATCTATATCAATATCAACAAAGGAAATTACTTTTTGTAGACACTGTATAAACATTTCCTATAAATACGCCCTCTAGTGACGAAACGTAGCGTGAATAGGTGGCAGGAAAGTTGTTCAAAGCGTCGTATCGTTTTGTAGTCGTCTACTAACTAATGATGAGAATGTTGTGGGAGATTTTACTATATTTTAGATGATGAACTAAACACATACAGTTGTCGATTTGAACGGCATTGTCTTCATTCATATACATTGTTTTAGCATATTGAACAGATTGAGAGGTGACTTATTTAAAAGTTGCATGAAACCTCGTGTTTTTCTGTATGAACAATTACAATTATTGTACAACAACTACCGATTACCGATAATATATCTTGATGTCGGGTTGTCGGTTCCGGAAACAAATATTTGTGTTCACTTAATAATACACTATAATAGTATTATGCGGAGAGGCAATTTATGATCGGGTGGGGTACAAACGTTTTTTTGTTCCAGCTACAGCAGCTGTGTTATTATCAGTTATACATCTAATTATAAAAATGTTCCCATCAAGTTTAAAAAAAAACAGTTCTGTATCGTTTATGGTAAACTAATTCAATCGTGTCTGGCGTGAAGAACGCCCCCCCCCCCTTTAGCTAATGGCTGAGACCGTATACTAGGTTTTGATTATCTGTCGTCCAATTCACATGGTTCGCTGAAGCCGACCATCCGAGGTCGCAGAATTATTTAGTGAACCGCTGCTGGTGGGTATGCTCGTCGTCGCGTTAATAACTTAATTAATAATCTGCGGGTAATGTATGGTAAGACAAATACAACATTAAAGAGAAAATTACAATAATAATACTGTAAAGAAAAAAATACAAATAACAAAAACGTTACTTTTTGTATATTGTTTGTTTTAGGTGTTTAACTAGTGGAAAACTGTTGTTGCATATGTGATTATATTGTTTATTCTATCCTGTTTGTTTAAAATTAATTGTGTCACGCGCAGATTTTTTCCTTTATCAATTTAGCGTGCCATTGAAGTGCGCCGCATACGTTATAACAGAGGATTTTATTGTTTGCTAATTTCAGAGGATGTTTTGCCGACCCAAATCAATCTTCCCTACTTGTTCCGAAAGCATTATTTAATTAAAGGGTAGTGGTCGTCGCGCAACGCATGTTCGAATTTCATTTAAACTCAGACTAGTAATAGTATTACTAGTCTGAGATTTATACAGACAATGTATCTCACACGAGTTGTGTACGTCGCTATGAGTCTCATATCGAACAAGGCACTGCGTGACGACCACCACCCTTTATTGTAAACTGTTACAAATATACGCGTGTCACAATCTTAATTTTCTTTGGACGATAAGCAAAATCTTTTTTCTGGGCCTAAATGCGCTAAAATATAATTCAGTATGTGAAGTTATTAGATACTAGTATGTTTCCTGCATCTTCTCCAGAAATCATCCCGGCACCAGGAAATATACCACCTTTTCATCAGCAGAACTCAGCCGTTCTTTGGAATCTCTTGCGATTCTGACGGTAGATCTCATGAGAAAAGTTGTTCTACAATTATTGATTTATTTGCAATTCAATGTACACTCGCTTGTGGGACTTGCTCAATAGATTTGGAAAATGTGCTTTCCAGTTTTTTATTTATTCTAATCAATGAGACCGGAACATCTTTTCATGGAGCTGCGTGATCTTTGTGACCGGAACATGCTTGTCTCGCCACTGAATGGGTGATGAGATCCCAAAGTATAACCAAATTTCCTCTGGTATGTAGCGCGGCGCATTCCGTATCCGTTTGATCAGTCTATTCTTAATAAAATATACACGGTTTTGAGCAAGGACGCTTGTGGATACTCCCAACGCCCAGTCACGTTCGAACCCATAACTTCAAGCTGCCACCCCTGCTGTCGATTCGAAGAAAAGTTTGGAATAGTCCATCAACGCCTTGCCCCACAATTCTGTGCGAAACGATTTCTTGAGAATGGCGGTCGGAGAAATGATAGCTATGGGTAGGCTCCTGAAATTATCGCCGTTTTGCCCTGGAACAAACTATTTCTTAGCAACACTTTTATTAACTGTACTCACTAACCATTTTAGTTTTGCTCAACAAAGTCGAAGCGCTTGTTACGATTCGCAAGGACGACCACAGCGTTGCATCGCCGAGTTTGTAAACGCCGCGTACGAAGTGAAGATAGAATCAACTAACACATGCGGCTATGATAGGACTTTATTCTGCCTCCAGACCGGCGTTACCGGTGCCACTAAGTCATGCGATGAATGCGTAGCCTCCGATCCAAATCTACGACACCCGCCTCGTTATATGACTGATTACAACAGTGACCAGAACACAACATGGTGGCAGAGCGAAACTATGTACGAGAATATTCAGTATCCACATTCAGTCAATTTAACGCTGCCGCTGGGTGAGTACCGGCGTCTTAATGTTATAACTTCTAAATACTATGCCACTTTTTACAGCTATTAAGAGACATTTCATACATGATATGTTCCTGGGTTTATAAAAGGTCAAAGAGATCAGGTCGTAAATAGTCAAAATTGGGCCAGTGACCACTGGCACCAACGGCAGAGTACTCTATTAAATTTCAAGTGTTTGCACATTAAAGTACATTCTCGCTTCTACCAATATAATAACAAAGCTCTGGTGAGAATGACAATCTTGTTATTGCAGCTCTCCCACCCCTTGAGTTAAAATCTGTAAATTGGTATATGCGAACAGCTGAGTTATACAAACGCCATTGATTGTACGCCACAATGAATGCGTCTCGTATTGTTGACTTGACACATTTTACCTGGAGTTGTCATTCCGAAGATGGAAAAAAACTTAACAGCACTGACCGTTAATACAGCTTCAAGTAGAAGGCCAGACAACTAGTTGAATAATTTGTTTGTGTTTGGGGAAAACTAGGCCCAAATCCTCTTGGAGAATAATCAAGAAATGTGCCCGTTTGTTTTTCTTCAGCTAGGTAAATTCCCGCAATACCTAGGGGTGTGGGTGTAAAGTATATGTATAAGTATACTATCAAAAATTTATAAAATAAGCCCTCGTATTATAAATCTTTGATATTATACTATATATAAACTTTGTGTTTAATATATATTTTTTTGTTTACATACACACCATATGTTAAGTGATTGAAGTGCCTGGGGTCTTAAAAGTCAATCCTATTCCTCCCAGAACGAAAAAAAAAAAGGACGAGATGGGGGGTTGAATTTTTTCTACAACATTATCGTAAATCACGTTTTATGAGAGTAACCCCTGATTATAAGTTCTAATGTATTTATATCCAAGAAACCCACAGTTATTGGCAAGCACATTTTGTGCATCAGTCAAAGCAACCGTTCCAGAGGATTCCAGTGAAATTCTCCCTTCTGCAACAATTTTGGAATTGAAATAAAGCCGTTTATAAATTGCTTTATATTCATTAAACACCATCTTTTGAAAATCTTGTTAGTTGGTAATTTCTAAAAAGTTTTTTTTTTTTTTTGAATCATTAAATCATAAATATTATTAAACTGTTTGCAGTGTAACATGTACAATGTTTCCTATAGGAGAATCCCTTGAGTATATTCTACTGGTAATTTTATCTGAGTACCCCCCAGTGGATAACAGTTTGTGTGTAGTGTGTGGTCCACATTATTATTTCCAGTATTTTCACTAAACTTTTATCTAAATTCCGTCTGTGTTTATACATTTTCTCCACTGAAGGTCCATTTATTCGGCCATTACCTGACCATTATACCTTGGCAGAATTCCCATAATAAATCTGTATTCAATGATGTCGGAATCAAACAAAATGGCGCTTGCCATGGTACGTTTCCATGGGAAATCGAGCAAGAGGTTTGTGTCTTTGTCATTCAGGCGTCGATTGGTTTAAATTTGAAATTAAGTTGTTATATGATGTTTTTCCTTGTTTTTCTGATTCAAAACAGATTTACTAATACTCCAAAAAAATCTTACTCCATTAATAACAGCAATGCAAGTGACAAGTATATAAAACAAGTGCGTGTCAGTATTGAAACTTACTATTCAGTTTACTGAGATTGAAAATAGTTTCTTTGTATGCGACTGTACGTTGTAGTGTCAACACTTATTGCTAAATTGGCAAAATAAAGTGGTTAATCATTTCATTAGACTGGGTCAATATTGAAAAAGGAAATGCCAAAGAATAAAAAGCCTTGCTTCATGGTCTGCTAGTTTCTATGCATAGTGAACTGTTCTCTTCACAGCCACACCAGATTAAATACTGGAATTTAATCTGTTAGATTATAATGTTGTAAAGTACGAAGATGAATTTGTACAATAAAAAGTATGACATTTGTAGAGTTTTTTGTTTGCTCTTGAGTGTTTTTGTTCACCTTGTGGAAGGAAGGTGTCTATACATATATATAAGTGTTATCAATTGACACCCACTACATAGGGAAGTAGTGTCTGTGTTCCTGTTAATTACCTTGATGTTTCTTGTGGGTGGGTGGGTGTGTGCTTGTCTGGCAGTCTGTCTGTTAACCATATTTGGTTCTGTTATAGCGACATCATCTGTCTTTTTTAAATCATTTCTGTCATATTTCTCATTGAGTCAAAATTACTCTTTTGATAACAAATAGATGATGTTGTCATGTAATTGTGAGGATGTAAATACTACACACATGCAAAATGCGGCATAACATTTTCCCAATATTTGCAAGGTATTATCAATTCTGGGTGCTCTATAAATTTTGAATATTAGTGATAATTGAAAACAGAAAACAAATAACCATTTCAATATAACAGTTACGAATTAATCTAGTGATATTTGGGAGATTTTGAAAACAAAGTTTACTAACTAACATTTACTGATATAGAGAAAACATGTATTGTATTTGTTCTACTGTTAAATCAATTTATTTTCAGTATTTTAATATTTTTTAGAAATCTCACTTTATTGTTATTCTACAAGTTCACATGAATTTAATTTATCAAATTTTAAAATCAAAATTAAAAACCAGTGATTAATTTACAATATTAGAAGAACATGTACTTATGTAAATGACCGAAGGCATATTTTAATTATACATACAAGTACATTGTGTACATGTAAATGCAATTATTCTGCTTCAAGTGTGTTGCTATGCGAAATGCACATCTAGTAGAGAAAATATGGTATATTCCCTGTCATGTGACATATTGCTGTGCATGTGCGTGCTCATGTATATTCAAATGTCCTTTTTACTCAGTATTACCATATATAGATTAATTATTATAATTACTATAAAGACATTTATAAAAAAAAGTTGCTTGTACCCATGTATTGTGTACTGCATGTAAAAAACTATGTCCTCATTAGTTGCTTCCAGTCATCCATTATTTTGTATTGATTAATTGAAATAGTAACCCAGATTTCACACAATAAACTCATCTCCCCTGGGTGCCATTGAAGACTTCAAGGATTTCTCAAGAAATGGGAGGTTCTGTACACAAGGTCTCAATTCATGCAAATAAACTTGCTGAATATTATCACTGTCATAATCAGACCTTGTCATTTGGGTATGGTCTAGTAAGCTTCCAGAGTTTCAGTTTTTATTGTATTTTCTCTGATACATGTTTGTCATTCCATAGAATTAAAACTAGTGATATATCCCTCCCTCCCTTCATGTTTGTTTCATCTCTCTCAGTACACACTTGCATTCTTCAATTATAGAGCTAACCTTGTCAGCCCAGGAACTAACTTTTCCGGGTTAGACCATTATTTTCAGGGGGTATGCTCCTGTTATGGATGTTGCTTAAAAATATGCTGTTCCACGTTCAAGTTAATATTTTGCATCAGTGGAATAAATTAAATAATGTTCTCATTCATTATGTTCCAATTTTGTGTAAATGAACAATGTAATTGATGCGTAATGTAACTGTTGCATGGGACCCACACCAAATATTTGCCATTATTGTTCTAATAACATTTCAGTTAAGTTCTTTTTTTTTTAGCTAGCATGTTATTTTCAAATTAAGATGTTTCTAATTTTAAAATAAAATTCCATCTCATTAAGAGATTGTTGGCACTTTATTTAGTTAAATTTGCTAAAATACTGTCAATGCATTAATTATTTACTTTTTAATATCACTATTTTAGCTGATAAGTAAAATCTGCTAAATTAAATCTTCAGGAACACGTAAAATAACAATAAAACTCATTGTTTCCTTGACAAATTCATGAAATTAAAACACAGGAAATATGCTCAAAACACCAAAATAGTGAAATTAATATCAGTGAAAATAAATAATTTTACGGTAACATGTACCGTAGCTATTTCAACTTGCTTTAAAATCATATTTTATAGAACATTTTGCGACTCAAACTTAATCTAATCTCAGAAATCTAAACTTAGTCTTTATTTTTTTTAACTATTATCAGTTGTATTTTAAATTATTACCCAGTTTCTATTTTGAGCATTTTTTGGACCATTTAAAATGTAAAAATGATAGAATTATTGTCAATTTATGAAGGAGAATCATTCTGTTATACTGTGACATTGAACTTGTAATGTACATATACTGACATGTGTCCTCTTCCTCCAGTTCTTCTCAAATATACAGAATACAAAACTCAAAAGGAAGTGACAATTATTTCGCCTAAATAAACAAATTAAATCAGGCAGATAAACTTGCAGTGGATTTCAATAAATAATTATAGCTTTGGTCATTTACCTTGTCATGGTTGATTGGTTCAGGGACCAAAAAGTCATTCCGAGGGCGGTTGAAGTCTACTGCTAGTGTTTGTGTGTCTCGATTCCAAAAAAAACTTTCATACACGCATGTCTATGTTGATTTGAATATATTTGCTACCGAAAAAATATATTTGACTCATTAATACCGTACAGCGAAAGACAATAAATGGTAAAAATGCCCGCTGTTTACATCTAATGTATGAATAATAAATAATATTTATAATATTTTTGTTAATAATTTTTTATTTATTTACCCAATAATAATAACAACAATAAGAAACACTGAAAAAAAAAAAAACAGAAGTAAGCCATACAGAAAACTAATGGTAAGAAAAATACACATATATATTGGGTAAAATGGAAATCAGAAAAATATGTTGCACGTGGCAATAGAGTTTGTGGTTTGCAGTGTAAATTAAATCTAGCTACAATAAATGGGTCACTTCAGTGTATGGTTACCATATGCGTATTATAATTTTTGTTTTGCTGTGCGTTAATACACGTACCACTGTATATTGTATCATTACTCGTGGTGCTTTTTTCTTTGCAATGTGATAATACAGATCAAATTATATCACATTTTTCACTTGTTATGTTAGTTAATTCTGGTTCAGTATAATTGTGTCATCTGTATTTCAAATTTATAAGCTTCTAGGCAGACATTATGACACTAAAGGTTAGATGGGAGGGGCAGGGTGGCAACAAG